TTTTTTTTTCCTCTCTCCTTGACATCTTGCATGTTGTCTGGGCGCAACAGTTCAAGCTCAACAGTCCAAAATGGCGGCAGCGCCCCTAGTGGCTGTTGGCAAAAATTCAACGGAGCTTCGCCTCTTGGTATCCATGCTCTTTGACCCAGGCCCGGACTGGCCCACGGGAGAACCGGGGAGTTCCCCGGTGGCCTGGCCCGCAAGTGGTCTGCTCTGGCCTGCCTGTCTTTTTTTTAATTTTATTTTTTTAAGGTGCGCTCTGCAGCGGCTGTGCAGCGCAGGTGGCCGTGCCGGCTAGCAGAGAGCCCGCCCGCTGTCAGAAATGATAGGTGCCCCCCCCCCCCCAGCAGCACCGTGACGTCGTCAAATGGTGATGCTGCAACAAGTAAGTTAACATAGAAAAGTAAGAAAACTGGTTATTCTCAACATGAGGTCCGGGGAGGATGGGGACCGACCCGAGGCCAAATAAATGATTGATGATAAGCTATAAGAGCCAAATTAACCCGTAAGGGTCCATTTGGTTCCATTTTGTACAGAGCAGCGCAGGCTGAAACAGTTAGGGGACTCTTATCTGTCTAAGTTCAAAAGTTTTCAATATCTATCTGATGTTACTGAAATAAGATATCAGATAAGTTGAAGTTGCAGCTGACTTATATTTTTACGTGTTTTACTGTTGCATTGAATATGGGTGTTGCCATATTGATTATGATCAGCTGACATCAAAATGATTTGCTGACAAAATAATACAATCATGTTGTTTAGTTCAGCATAATACCCATTCATATACGAGTCCTGGTTTATTGAGGGGCACATTTGGTGAGGGTAGGGAAGAGAAGGACTATGAGTAGGGTTGCTGTTAAAGTTGTGTTTAATAGAGTTGTTGTGTGACTGTCAGTCTGGAATAATGAGCTTTGGTGATTACTTAGCCCATACGTGCACCTGTGTGAGCATGTAATGTGTGGATTGGGTGGCCTGGGTGGATGTATGACTCCCGGCCTGAATTTTTGTCCCAGTCCGGCCCTGACCTGACCACGCAAAAGTTTTTTCTAAGCCATTAATGAGAAAAAAAACTTTTGTGTGGTCAGGTCACCTTTGGCTGGTGCTTTTTAGTTTGTAAAGTAGGTTAAAATTTTGTACTTACGAACAGAGCAGTTCTTCCCATAGAAGCCAGTGCGAGTGCAGTCACATTCGTAGCGATCTGCACCAAATCTGACACACACTCCTGAGTTCTGGCAAGGGTAGTAACAACAGGGGTTCACTGCAAATGAAGAGAAAGATCATCTTACTTTCTATGAATGAATAATCAATAAAATGTGGCCCCTGCTGAGCTAAATGGCCGATAGTTCAGATGCTATAATGATTCAGAATGATACTGAAGCCAAAGACAAACACAGAAAACCTTAAAGTGTTTATTACATATAATTGTGTGTGTGGATACATACAGCTCGTGTCGCATTAAATCCTAAAAACCAACCCTAAACTGTTGGTAATTCACACAACCATAACCCCAAAAATGTAACCACTGATGGCCTAAATGTTAAAGGGGTGAAACTACCCTGCATAAAGGTTAAAAAGTGTTTATCAGGAAGCTTCTTTGACACAGAATTCAGTCTCTTTATAGGAACTGTAACTAAATTAGATGTTGCTGCTGAAAGTTACAGCCTTCTACCACAACCACCTCCCCATATCTTTAACACTTTCTGCCGTTGTATTATGGCTTCCTGTCCTTCCTGTTCAATGAGATAATGAGACACTGCAGCTTTTTCTTCCTCATTTAGCTGTGAACAAAGGGACAGATAGGCATGCCTACTCTTCATGAAAGACAAATTGATTTCGGTGTCTAAAGGAAGAAAGTTCATAAATGTAAACTGTGTAAACTGTAAAATTGGAACCTGTACCTGCCTGTGAGCTCATGTGTCTTCAGCTCTGTCTTTCCCTGCTGCCCCCACTCACCTGCTTGACACCTTTGTTCAAGACTGAATCACACCAAAAACCTAATCAGGGGTCAACAGAGGCTCAGTAGAATAAAGGTCACAATTCAGCCCATCAGAAACTGTGACCCTACTGGGCCTGGAAATTTAAAGGAGCTGTATGCGACATTCAGAGCATATCTAATGCTGCATTTATGTGCTCCTCGGTCGGTCCAATTTCCCGACTTGGGAGGTCACACTTCTGACTTTGCTGTGTTCAGGAGCTTTAAGTCGTAACGTGGAAACACTATGAACATCACAAAGAAGATGTGCTGTATTTTATTGCTCAGAGCATCTAAACAACACATTAAAAACATCTGAAGCTTTCTAGTACAAAGTCATTTTGTCCAAGACTTGTTGCTGCTGTAGTATATCCCCCTAAAACTATTAATATATGGCTTAACCTGACTAATGCTAATAAATACCTTCTCTAACTAATCTTGGTCACTCTACATGGACAGCAGCTCACGGCTACAACCTAATTCCATATTACAAATCACATGTGAGCAAAAAACTGTTGTTGTTGTCCCGGTCCAGAACTGATTTTTACAATTATACCAACATAACATGAATGCAGGGTATGACTCAGAGTCTGGGGCAGAATTGTCAACACACAGATCTCAACATGGAGGCGGCTAGTCCGGAGCTAACAGCTAATGGTCTACATGGTGGGAACTGCCCATTGGTCCGACAGCCCATTGGTTCGACATCCCATTGTTCTGACCATATTAAACCCATTGTTCTGAAGTCCGTTCCGAAATCATCATGATGCCCTGTGGTTGAGGTCTGGTTAGGTTTAGGCACAAAAACCACTTGGTTAGGGTTAGGAAAAGATCATGGTGTGGGTTAAAATGAAAAAGAAAGTGACAAACACATAAGCCGTGAGCCTGCTCCGCCTCAAGCCTTTCCCAGCTGACCCAGAGGTCGCAGCGCACCATACGCCCGCCGCGAGCCGTTCAGCACCGCGGACAGTCGGACTAATGGGATTTCGAACCAATGGGCTGTCGGACCAATGACATGGACCCCTAGATGGTAACCCCAGATTTGCGAAAATTCCTGCTAGATTTTATGTTATATGTTTCAGGGGATCATTTTAACCCAGAACATTACCACAGCATTGTCACAGCATAAAACAGTGAGACGAGAATATTCTGAAGTGGCTCACAGGAGTTTTTGTAATTCTAGGTTTACCATTAAAGGACAACTTCGGTATTTTTCAACCTGGGCTCTATTTCCCCATGTGTATGTGTGCGTATGATTCATGGGTACCACTCGTTCTAAAATTGGTTCAGTATTGAGCCGCGAAACGACCTAAAATGGTAATGGGGGCAAATGCGTCCCGTATAAAAGTACTTTTGTTCGCCACTGACCGGTTCAGATCGCCAGTGCTATCTGAACTGTGTGTTACGCTAGAAGAGTCAGAGGACGGAGTCTTTTACGTGTTACCCCCTGGAGTGTTACCGGAGTTTTTGGAGTGCTCAAATAAACGGGCCTTTTTCCTGAACGAAAGAACAGGATGTCGCGCAACACCCCGTACAGCTTTCATAGGCTGCCTTTGTCGGACGGCGAGATGCTGAAGTTGTGGCTAGTTGTGCTACAAATGGATGCTAACACTCCTCTCCAGACACTGCGCCTTGCAGGCCATCGGGTCTGCAGTGCTCACTTCTCCCAAGATGACTACTGCCAGCCGAAGAAGAGAAGACATCCAATCCCGAAACACCTCTTCCTCAAGAAAACGGCTGTCCCACGAGTAGAGAGAGCTAAAGACACAGTGGAGCAAAGCTCGTGACATCACAAAGCCCAGAGGTAAGGGAAAGGCTAAGTTAGCATGCTATTTACAGAGATAGCACTGGCGATCTGAACCGGTCAGTGGCGAAAAAAAGCACTTTTATACGGGACGCATTTGCCCCCATTACCATTTTAGCTCGTTTCGCGGCTCAATACTGAACCAATTTTAGAACGAGTGGTACCTATAAATCATATGCACACATACACATGGGGAAATAGGGCCCAGGTTGAAAAATACCGAAGTTGTCCTTTAAGCCACAACCCATTCACATGTTACAAAGGTCACATCTGCAACCTTGTGTGGGTTTGCTGAACCTTATACTTAATTTTGCTTAACTTAGACATGTTATCCTCACACATGTTTTGAACAGTTTTAGACTTTGACCCCTAACCCCAGTTTTCAGTTATGTTTCTGCACAAAGTTCAGGCATTGAAATAAACAGTTTTATACTTTATCAGTCACTCATGACTGTTAAAAAACTTACTGTTCAAAGACAATGCTTGTTCTTTTTATACTTATCCAAATAGCTAAGAGAAATTGAAGTTACATAACAAGCAACAGTTCAGGTGTTGGGGGGATAATATAATGTAACTCATTATGACTCAGCAAATATTTACAGTATCTCAGTTTTGTACTTCACGCTTTATATGAAAGAAAGACAAAACTTTCATCATAAAATACACTATTATTATAATAACCACAACCTCACACTTCTCAGACTCTCAGTCTAAACAATAAAGATGTGATTTGATGGGAGAAAGAAAAGTCACTTACCAACACTTGAGTCAGCGGCACATGATGAGCTCTTCAGAAGCAGCAGGTTGATAAGCACCCAGATGGAGAAGATACTAAACGCTATAAAAAAAATAACAACAGTTTAATATTATCTGAGTGTAAAAACATTAAATTCAGTCAGCAGATGTTTCACTAAATATTTTTAGGACTCACCTTTCATGATTCTAACTTGTGAGGATTCAGAATTAGAGTCGTCTAAAACGTTGGTATTCTAGAAATAATTTGAGAGGCATGACATAACAACCTCTAGGTCTACTGATATGGTCCAACTGGCCTTATAACATCAACTAGAGTGGGCGGTGACACAGTTTCCTCTACTTCCTCCATAGATTTCTAAAGAAGACCTGCTGCACCTTACACCAAACAATTTGATTTAATCATTTTGAACAAGAACTGGTGTGCAGATTATTCCCTAGGATTGTGTTCAAACCCATTTAGAGTGCAAAAAAGTTCTGACTTCAAATGATAAACATTACTGGGTTCATTGCAACAGGAAGGACAGGGAAACATGAAAAGATGCTATGGGAAGATTTCAAAGTGCTCTATCTCCACCTGCTGGCAAATTAATGTAACATCCTGGGCTTACTTAGAATAAGCCTCTGTAATTTCAAAGTTCATTAAAATCAAGGGAGTTTTATAAAAGTAACCTTCAAATGTGTCCAAACTAAATATCCCAGTAACCCTGGATAGTCTTGTGCACTGAAGACCCTCATTATCACTTCCATGTGCACAATATCACAAGACTGGGCAGTGTATTTTTTGGATTTGCATCCTGCTAAACTGATCTTAGTTTAAGGGAAATTTAAGCAAACTTAGTATTTGTATCTACTAATATTAACTGTTTATTGTCTATTTATCTGTCTATTTATGCATTTTAAATAATTTTATTTTATGTCTATTTTAATACCACTGTGTTGTTGTCGATGAAGGGAAGTGTGGTTGTTGTTTTTTGTGTTTTATGAGCTGCTGGACAGCTGAATTTCCCTTCGGGGATGAATCAGGTAGTTCTTTCTATTCTTCTTCTGTTCTATTCTATATGAAAGATTAAATATTTCTTGACTCAACAGTGTAATTCGAAATAAAACAAGCAACACTTTGCCTGGGTATAGTATTACTTATGACTGTAAGTAATAACAGTGGAGACTGCGCCAATCTCTCCCTTGTCACTAATCAAACTCACCTTTTCAAAAGTGCTTTTAATGTGTGATTAATGTTATATATTTTAAGTGTGATCTGTTTTTGTGATCATTTTAACTCAGGTAAAGTGTCTTTGAGTACCATGAAAAGCCCTCTCCAGATAAAATGCATCATCGTTCTTCTTCTTCTTATTATTATTATTAGAGTATAATAATCCATAAACACATATTGACACTACAATCTGTTCCACAAGCTCCATTTAATAGCTGTTCTGGAGCTTTTGATAATATCACACAATCTCTCCTAGCAGATTGTAGTGGAACTGTAGATGTTGTCCAAGTTAGCTTAAAGGAACAGCTCACCCCAAAATAAAAAAAAAACTATTTTTTTTCTCTTACTCTTATTTATTTATTTTTTTTATTTATTTGTTTATTTGAAGGGACAGAGCATATTAATAGACAAATCTGTAAATATGCCAGATTTAGCCAAAGGTTAATTTTCATCCATTGTCCCTGGCCAGGTGTTACAAAGGCTCCCTGAAATAAAACAAAGTAGAACTATGTTGAGGGAACAAACATCAGTCTTATCTTAAAGCACCAATCAATAAATTACAACTAATTAAAATTGATTAGTGTGTGAACAACAAGTAATAATGACATTGCTAAAATTAAAAAAAAATGACAACAAGACAACATAAGACAGCCTTACAATTAATACAGAACACAAGGGACAATACGAACTTCACAGCAAGCAAATAAACATGCAAGCAAGAAAGCAGTTAAAAAACATGTATGCAAGACAATACGTAGTTAAGACATAAGCAAGCCAACCCTCCACGCAGCATGCTGGTTAGACATCAGTCAGAACCAGAGTGACTAGCCCAGAGTGCATACAAAACAACACTTATGCACGAACAGGGTACAACATGAAAGATATTTCACATTGGACAAGCCATACATAGAACAGGACATAGGGACCAAATAACCAACTGATATTAACACCTGTAGTGCTCTTTATCAGTCTAGACCAGTGGTTCCCAACTGGTGGGTCACAAGTGACTCACAAACAAACAAGTTTGTAAAAAAAAAATAAAAATAAAAATAAAAACACTTTATTTTTAAGTACAGTGAATTTCCGGCACAGAGCTTTTACTTTGAAGTGCTGTTTCCTGCTGTAGAGTGAGTGACAAATGGTTTAGAGAGAACACAGTTCCTACATGAAACTGCTCACAACAAGGTCTGTGGATTATCTTGAGTAACCAAGTAATGATTTCTGGAAAGAGACATTGCTGTTGAGTTTTTCAAATATATTTTCTTCATGCTCTGAGCACCACCAGCTGAGTGCCATCTCGTTCTAGTATATTGCAGAGAAGGCAGACATCTCTACAGCCGATATCTCAAACACTTGGCAACTCAGACTGAAACAATCTAGATTGTTCAATAGCACTACAGATAAGAGGGAAAATATGTGGGCTTTTTTGACTCTTGAGGTGAAATGTCCCTTCAAAGTTCAGATTAAGGTCATCCTTGACCTTGTTGGTTTATAGCATGAAGGAGAAGTTGTAAAGAAGGAACTTTCAATTTCAACATCGAGTACTTTGAAATCTGCCATATTGCATATGCAACTCAGAAAATGTATTAATTTGTCTAAAGTATGTGAGTGAGAGGGAGCTGCATCCACTTGTCTTTAACATTACAGGCAGCATTTTCCTACTGACAATTCCTCTTTTTTTAATTACACCCACTGGTGTAAACACACCTGCAGTGTCCAACAGTCCGTTGCAGGAATAACACATAGTTCCTTGAATATCTGATTTGTAGTTTCTGAGAATGTGGAGGAAAAGACACAAAAACAAAACGGCCTTCTTTTAAAAATGAACTAAACGATGCAGTGTTGATTTGCCTGGTTCTGATCTTCAATACCTTCCCACGGAGACATTATCTGAGCCAAACCTATGTGAGATTTTTGCCTGTTGAAGTAATTTCCTGCATACTGTAGCAATTTTAGGACTAGCTTGTCCACATGGAGATAAGTCAAATCTTGACCAAAAACATGTTCTTTTAAAAGCTCACCTCAGCTCTCTCTGAAGATGCAGTTTGTGTTTCTTATTATGTTTTTACAACAAAAGCAGAAAAATTTGTTCACATCAGCTAATACCTGAATTTATAACTCTAATAAAAAACACAATATTGTCATTTCTGATTAAACATCCAGAGCTGATCCGTCTTGCCAGAACAAAAACCACAACAGCAGTGAGAGGTTCTCTTTTCCACATCCTGTCATCTTCAAGGAGGAGACAATATGTGCCATGGTTCATATGCAAACTGTGAGAGTTCAGCGTCTTGTCACTTTGAAACCACACTGTATCCTCTGCCAAGTTTGGTCAGTATGTACAGGGTGTGTTTGTGTGTAGCTGAGAGGCTTTAGGACAAAGAGACAATCCAGCTGGTCCTATATGCTCCCTTTTCCTCAGTTTTCCTCAAAACACACGACAAAAACAACAACAAAAATTCATATAATTTTTTTTTTTTATTTATTTATTTATTTAGAGTATTTTAATTTTGTAAGTCAATCACCTTACATGTGATAGTTGATGTGTGTGTGCCAGCTGATAATACATCCATGGCTCATTTAGTCTGACTGAAGGCATGATGTGATTAACACTACTGCACATATTTAGTGGGCCACAAAACCCGGAAGTAACCCAGAAACTTAAAACTTTTTTGCCGTATCAAAGACACTAACAAAGCAGCACAGCACATAAAATAACCTAAATTTTAGGATGGATTATGTTGGTAAATATTATCTTTGGTGGGTTGACAACCTTTTTGCCTGGCTTGTTTTAGTGTGGGCATTTTTCTTATTCTTTTTCAATATTCATTTTCTTTTCTGGCAAATAATGCCATTTTTTTTTATCCAACATGGCAACCCTGCAGTAGCTTGAAGGCTACTTGACCAAGCTGGTCAACCACCAGAGGCGTGCTCGCCAGCTTGTAGCTTGTCAGACTGACTAGGAACAGGAACCTCTGGTATCCTACATAGTATTTATGATCGAGCAACACATTCTTACTCCCAACTCGTTTCATATCGCCACCTGGTCAGTGGACTTTCATGTCTACATATTACACGCTAGGTATCATGGGTGCTTCTGTTGTAGACATTTTGGGACATCGTGTCAATTTACTTCTTTTACATGCATTGTCTCTTTACAAAATACACTTCCATTTGAAATGTACAGTCCCTGCTTGTTAGATGCACAGTCTTTTTCAGGATAAACTTAGATGCATGATAATGTTTATTTCATTGCGCAACAAATGCACATGGTTAGGTTTATAAACAACTTTATGGTTTGGCTCTATATTCAAACAGGAGATGAACACAGGCCTCCTAGTTGAAAATCCAGTGTTGTTGGAGCCATTACCACCCCGTCCACCCACCCTAAAGGGACCTTCCAGGTCCTTGAATTACGCTGTTGTTCGGTGGCATTTCAAACTGTTTAACTGATGCCAGACTATGGCCTAACATAAAGCCAGAAACAGATGCTTGTTTTCTGTCAGTCTGATGGAGAAATCAGTCACCAAGTGGCAATATTTGACAACTCCAGAATGAGAACGGGTTGGATTGGACACATTTTGAAGCAAAACATATAAGGTTATTGTGTGCCCTTAGTCCCTAGGTACCTCTGTGCCACTGACAATGCGACATTTGCCAGGCAACGGCAGCATACAGAGCTTCAGAAAGCCAGGTATGAGAGTGGGCAGGTAGGTGGGCAGGTGTTAGATCTGTGCAGAGCACCAAAGCAAACATCTAACATACAAGATTCGATCTATGTTGTTTCCGTGACATGAGAAATACTTTCAAAATACAGGTTAAAGACACAAGAACAGTCAAAATAATGCCATAGCCCCACCTCATGAAGAAGTCATGCCACGCCACTGCTCATGACTATCAGTCCTTGGTTCTTTGTGCTTTGCATTTTTCTGTTGTATTGAAGTTTTACAGTGGAAGCTGCAGGGCATCCATACATCACTCTTAAGTGGATGTTCAGTATACCAACCAACCAACCAACCAACCAACCTCTGCAGCTCCAAACAGCAAACTAACTGTATTTGAATAACATTCTG